GGTCGACTTCTCACCTAAAAATTCAATGTTTTCCATTTGCTTTTTGCTTTTTCTCGCCCACTGAGAATCCTCTCCGCAGTTATTGCCTGATTACCAAGCAAAATAGCACACCTATTGATCGCGACCCGTGCCTTTAAATATTCTTGCTTTAAGGGGTAGAGTGCAGCCTGTTTGTCTGTTAGTAGCTTTTTAAGACTGCGTTGTTGTCTCCATCTTATTTTGGCGATTCATGCTCCGGCATACTCTCCGGTTCACATTACCCGCTACGTCTTCTGTAATGACATATTTCACTATCAAGGAAGATAACAGGACGAGAGGTGAAAGAAGTCACACTCAGCCCCCCCCCCCCCCACCTCCTTTCCCTTCCCCTTTTGACAGCTCACCGGTCATGGCGTTGGTTTCATCCGAGCTCCATTCACACCGTGAGGAACATGAAGTTAGATCCAAGTAAGGCTCCTCGGTCGCCCTGGCCACCACTACGCCCCTTTTTTATGCGTGGACGAGCAGTAGAAACTATTGGTCCTCATCGTGATTGTCCTGCTTGCAAGAATCTGATGAGTGAGAGCTGTGGAGGTGATCGTAATTCTCACGTAAAATTCAGCTATCCTACTGCACTGGCTGCTCTGGTCGGTGTGGGAGCGTCCCTGGTTTGTGGAGCGATTGCGGACTGTACAAAGCGATTCAAGGAGCTGCTCAGAGTGTGCTGGGTTTGCTGCACCACCACAATCATCTTCACCAGAATAGTGGGTGTTTTCACATGTGTTCTGAGCAATACTTTAAGTAATATGTCAGGTTTATAACAAGTTATAGTTAGCTTTTCTTCTCTCCTAAGCGTTTTCCCTAGTTATCCCTGCTTTATCGTCTGCCACAATTTTTTTTTCATTACTGCTTTTTGAATTTCATAACCCTTCTTATCCTTCACTTTAACCCATTGCTGCTCTTTACTCGCTTATCTATTTTCCTCTTCTTTTCCCGCAACATCTTCGTTGCTCTATGTTCCATTTTATTTCCTTCCTGTCATTATGTTCACTCCATCATTCTCTCTAACATCGCTGAAATGCTCATGATCTCCTTAGTGTCCTCCTTCCTTCGCCTACCTATCTTTTTTCTTGTTCTTTTTATTTCACGTCCTTTTGTTTTTCTCATCTCCCCACCAAATCCTACCCTCTCCTCTGCCATTGCCAACTTCATTTTGCCGTCTTTTCCATTTTTGGTCCGTGTTCCCCACTTTTTCGATCTTCGGTCCAAGGCAGTCCTTTCTCTCCCCTTCTCTTTTTTTCTGTCCCTTCCCACCTCTCTCTTCGTGCCGTTTCAAGTGTTCCACGCATAACATACCCTGGGAGGCCCCGCCCTAGTGGTCGGGCGTGCGCTTAAAAGAATACACGCGTTTCTGCAATTACCCAACAATTCGTCCGGGATAGTCTAGACAACCATGAGCGCTGGAACTGAGTTGATGAGGGTGAGGATGAAGCCTACCCTGTCATCGATCGGCGGGCACCAAATGCTCGGTTTGCGACGAAAATCCATAAACACGGGCCCCAAATATACGGAATCGAGAAACCATAAGTCGATGGAGTACGTGGACGAGTAAAAGCCACCTGTCATCGAGGGCCGTGGGCATGCCCAAGTTGTGGCAATTTGCGAACGAAAATTGAGGGAAAACGCCCCAATAAGTCTCCGGAGATCGGGAAAAAAAGGTTCCGATGGAGGGATGGAGGAATAAAAGGCCACCTTCATCGTGGCGGAGCATGCCAAGGTGGCGAGTATTGCTACGTAAAATCATAACTCGGGTTGCCCGATTGCGTGCGGTCGTTGCCCTTCGGCGCGAACGGTCTTGCCATCAAATGGGTTCGGTTGTAAAAAAATTTCATAAACTCTGCCCAGACATAACAACCTCGGTAAGAATCCCCGAACGAAATAAAGTGAAAGAGATCTGACGGATTGGTCACTCAACAGGTTGTAGCGGGCATGACTAAAGTGAGCGGAGCTCGGCTGCAAACTAAAAGTCGGTTCAGAGATAGTCCGGAAACCGAAAAAAGGTGGATAGAAGCCAGCGAAGGGAGAGAATTCAATCTTCATTGGTGAGCGGGGTATGACCTAAGTGGGCTGGGTTTGTTGCCAGACCTATAAAGTGGTTCCACGAAGCTCTAGGAACTGGGAATAAAGTAGATGGAGGCCGGCAAAGGGAGGGAAGTCAATTTTTATTTGTGGTTGGATGCACTAAAGTGGCCGCGTTGGCCGCCAAGCATATAGATTGCTCAGGGTCAGTTCAGAGACCGGGGAAAACGGAAGCTATTAGAAATAGAAGAAGATAGATAGAAAAAGCGGACAATAGTTGCGAAGAAGGTGAGGTTAAGAGCTATTGATTATGGAGCGGATAGAACCTAGCTCAGAAGTCAAATATTCGTAGTGTATCGGGCCAAATTGAAGAATTTACGCCGCACCATCCATATCGCCGCAGAACTGTGTTGCGCGCGCAACGCGTGCGGCGCCAACTGGTGTGACTATATGTGACTTGAAGTTTGTGGAGTGAACTACCTGGGTTCGAATAATAATGGCATATTTATTGACGTCCTTCAGTGGCTTCGTCATAAATGGAGTGGACCTTGCGACACCGCAGTGTTCCTCGTAGCTTGCGCCGGACTAGGCGGCTTTTCGATCCCACAGTTTCCGATCGGAGTGGAAATGGGCGTCGAAACGACTTTTCCGGTCTACGAAGCAACTTCTTCAGGGCTACTGGTGCTCAGTGGGTAAGCACCAGCGACTGGTTTGCAGACCAATTAAAATGTCAGCGTCCCTTTTGATTATAGCCTATCCATTCCAGACAACTGTGGATGTTTGTTATGTACTATGTGTTTGAGACGACAAAGAAAATGAAAATTATCTACGACTTTGACGACACGAAACCAGCAGGGAATTGGCAACGTAAGTATGGTGTTCTGTCAGGTTAACCACTAGTTGAACTTTCATGTAAAGATCCCGAATACCATTACAGTCAACCTCGATATTTGGTGTCTGTTGGGTATTGTCGCAGTTATTCTGTCGTTCATTGCTAACCCAAGGTAGGTTAACCTTTATGATTGTCTGAGTGTACCTAGGATACTTGAGACATTCAAGGTAATCACTTTGTTGAGCGTGTGCTACCTATTACGCTATCAGTCGTACCACCTATTTTGCCAGGGGAATTCCTCAAATGATGTTGAGATTTTCCAGAAAGGCGATCCTACTACACTCTGTATCGGAGGACGGGAAGAAAATCGGCGGCACACAACACACCGTAAGTGACGGCGGCGATGAAAAAAATTGACAACCCGTCAGGTGGTACAATTGTCAATGTTTTTATCATCGCCGCGTACTTACGGTGGTGAGCTGCCGCCATTTCTTGCCCGTCTCTCCCGAACAACGAAGTGATATATAATCGGCTAAGCGGTTGTGTGTGTGTGTGTGTGTGTGTGTGTCTGACCGGAAATTCATAACTTCACCTCCCTTTGGACCCAGAGCGCTCAAACTTCTAGGATATATAGGGGGCCGGAGGTGAACACTGATGACGGGTGGCGGGAAGTGATAACTACTGATAGGAGCTGATAACGGACGTCGAAATGTTGATGTCACCAATTTCGTTGCACCGTTCGCGTTGACAGTGGAGAGTTTGCACTCATGTATGATATGTGGGGTGAGGCGGGGACCAAGAAGTTGATTGAAAGAATGGGGTAGCAACTGATAAGAAGCTGATAAGGGCGTCGAAGTGTGGATACCAACAGTTTCGCTGCGGCTTTCTGCGATTACATTGGAACCTTGGCTCTCACATGTGATACAAGGGAGTGGGACGGGAACAAGGTGGCGGAGGATTGAATGTGGGTGACAGAAAGTGGTATGAGCGGCAACTGTACTGATAAAAGTAGCGAAATTGAGCGTGCACTCAGTTAAACTAAACCAGGCCCCTAGCAAGTGAATATGTTCCATTCCTATCCTTTCATCCAAAGAAGCAAAGAAAGTTGAGCTGCTCAACTATCTGGACCTGGACTAATAGCGAATAAAATCATATTTCCAATTTCCATCATAGCTCGGTTGATGCTGATTGATTGGTTATATTTCACTTACACACCGATTCTTCAATTGTGGAAATTCTATAAACCGCTAAATCGCCCGAGCTCGATATCAATGCTAAATGTTTACGAAGTCATGATAAGTATTAGGTCGGTCCACAATTTTTGAGAACCTTTGGTGTTTTTCGATTTATTACTTATCTTATTTCTCTGATCTACTTATCCAGCATAGTATACATCATTATTATTAACAACATATCACCAATGCGAGGGTGGGTATTCAGTGCCTCTCTTGTGGACTTTCATAGAGTTCTGATCGAAGGAAAATTGTAGTCCCGAATCAGTTCTCAACCCAATCTGACATCATCAAGTTCCTGTTGGTTTCCCATAGTTCCTTCGGATGACCATCTATAATACTCATTGGTGATGTGGACTGGGTGCAATGTGCTAACAAATCCACGAGCCGCAGTAGATTTGCTCAAACGATTCGGGAGTTCTGACAGTACAAACCCAACTCCCTCTGAATTCGAACTTCCTGAGTCGTTGGCGCAATACGGGAGGGCCTTTGCGCTGAAGACCGGCATCAACTAATACCAGTGTCAGTGATGGGAAGAATCGTTGACAGCTTGATGGCAACGCCTTCAACTTGAAAGCAAAGGAAGACAAAATCTATTTTTCTCTGAGGTCGTTCGAGCCCGCCTTGCTAAGAAAATTCCTAAAAAATTGGAGACTCTCGGGCGGTCAGTTCTTTTAGCTCCGCCTTGTAGCACTAATCCTGCGTCAACGAACGACTATCCGCTCTCCTCTCTCAATCACCTTCTGGAGAAGAAATCTCACTTGAATCACCATAAAGTCAAAATCGACATCCAATATTTCTTCGATCAGAACTCTATGAAATTCTACAAGGGACACTGAATACCCACCCTCGCATTGGTTATATGTTGGTAATAATGGTGATGTATACTATGCTGAATAAGTACATCAGAGAAATAAGATAAGTAATTGAAGTCGAAAAACACCAAAGGTTCTCAAAAATTATGGACCGACCTAATAGCATTGCTCTGCGCGCATTACGCGACAATCTTCAGCGAAACTGGACAACCTTTAAACATCATGTGACACATCTTCCAAAACATCTTACTGTTAGTTTCTCAGTCACGTGACCTAATATTCTGCAAGTTGTCCAGTTTCACTAAAGCCCACCATTTGATGCGCGCGGTTGCGTGCGGAGCTAAACTGGTATATACGTAGAAAGTTGGGGTAGGCGTGTCACCGGAAGTGACGTGCACTTGATAGAAGTTGCGTGGATAAGCTGTTGCCAGCATGCTTTGCTGATATCCAGCGATGTATGTTGGAAGCAGCTTATCCACATAGCTTCTATCAAGTGCACGTCACTTCCGGTGACACGCCTACCCCAACTTTCGGATATCGACTGTCCTATCGTTGTTACTTTTCAAAAAAATTTACGACCCCCCTCCCCCAAGATGGAGGGTACGACCCCCCCCCTCCTACAAACTCAATCAGGTATGACCCCCCCCCCGTTGTTTCTCGTAACAACGTAGGGTTGACCCTGTTTCGGGTATCGACTGTAAAATCTGGATGGCCTGTAATGCAATTTTGCTTTCACAACCAATCGTCGCAGGAAACATCTGAAAGATCTTGTTCAGCAGCTCTTTCTTTGCTGAAGCTCAAAGGAATCTTCCACGGAAAGAGTGATCATTTTGTCTTGTGTGTAGGATTAGTATTATCGAAACTAACGCTTATGTTCCGTTCTTTTTGCTATGCTCATGAGGCTAGGGGCCTAAGGTATCGTTTTTCTGTGGTAATGGAGGCGGAGCTTTTTCCGTGGAAGATTCCTTTAAAGGAGGATCCACGTAAAGTCGTATTCTAGGAAGGGGAAGTGTATGCAGTAGCGGTCAAAAGTGTTCGCCGAAACGATTTTTAGTGCATTATTTTTTCTCGCTTGAGCAACGCCCTCCAAAGATTGATATACTATGTTTTCTAGTGTTTTTATATCCTCAAGTCTTAAAGAATCAGGATATTCAAAAAAAAATTTCGAGGCCACCATTGATTTTTTCTGGCAAAAAAGAGAAGCACGAAAAGTCGTTTCGGCGAACACTTTTACCGCTACTGTATAATTGAGAAGCACCTAAGGATGCGGGCGATGCGCGTTTTTGCAGCAAACGTGCCCCCAGCGGCCTGACATGGCCGTACCCGCGTCGCGCCTCTGCACTCCCGCCGACGTAACGCCTTGCTGGGTCTGCACAAAAAGAGCGCAGCGTTGAAGAGGGTAACACCTAGGAAATTCAAAGCAATGCGTAAATCAACGGAAAAGATGAGGTCCTTTTCCTCGGATTTTGGGGCATCACAATTTTTTCTTTATTACCACACCCCTGGTCACCTCTACCTAAATTTCTGATGGGTGCCTTTTCATCATGAACCCCACCTTTCGAAAGGAGATAGATAGGCCTGTTATGAAGTTACCAGATTTGTCCCCCGGCAACCGCCGGACCTTTCCTTTCCTGCGAAGCTTGGCGTTCTTTCTTCTCACCTTATCCTCCCCCTCCCCCCCCCACTGCTCTCCACCTGCCCACTGCAGCACCTGTAAAATGACTGAAAGTGTACTAATGTAAGTGTTTATATAGCCTTAGGTAATCGCAATCACGTTGCAATAATACCTCAACAACGATCGAACCGTATTCCTGAAAGCGATGCACTTTCTCCCTCTTTCCTCCCCCACCCCCCTCCTGCCCATCCCCTGCCTTCCCCACCCTCCTGCCCTCCTCCTCCGGCTGCCACGGCAGCACTATGTATAATGAAA